GTTCTCCAGCTATGAGAACCCAAACACAACCGCCTGCAAAGAATCAGCGTGGGCAGCACAGTTGGTTCACAATGCCCGGCAATGCCCTTCACCACATTGGTTGTCAGTTGCGCATTCGCGAGCATGACTGGACCAAGTGTGCTGCAATGCTTTTGCCACAGAGTGCGAGGCTCTTCGCTGTGAAGAGTTGCCGCAGCGCGGGTCTTTCGCGCTTCAGTTTGCTCAGCTGACATGACGACCAGAGCTATGCCGCGTTTGGGATGCTCCGCGTGAAGCAGCCTTTGTCACGCAGTCATGTCGCTGGAGTGCGAAATGAGTGGGCTGATTCTCTCAGCCGCAACAGGGTTCCACCAGGTTTTCTGCCGCAAAGCCAGCGCGCGTTGGTCGTGTCTGACGTTGATTAAGGACGGCGACCCTGACCAGGTGGGGTGAAGTGGGCATGTTGTCTGCTTGCAACGGTGCCACTTGGTATGGGGTTCGGTGGCCGGCCAGCCTTGCAGGGTGGCGCCTTGGAGGGTTGGCCAGCCTGCTGCCCACCCTGTTTCCTTGCTCCTTTTTTTGTTTGCTCAGTTTCTGCCTTGGCTTCGCAGCTTAAGGAAGCTTCTGGTTTGGCAGCTTGACAGATGCCACAGCTGCTTTTGCAAAGCCCGCCTGCCCTTTTTGGCCCAAATGCCTGCCTTGGAGCTTGGTGGCCTGCCAGGTGTTGCCTGCAAGGCTAGCTTGGCCTTGTGTGTCGACCATTGCAAGAAAAGGGTGCAAGGGAGAGTGGAGGGTCTTTTTTGTAACTATATTTGTTGCGGTCTCCTAGAGCCAACTACAGGAAAACCTTCTTTCTTTGCGCCTACAATCACTTCCCGGGCAAGCCGGCGGCGGAAGTTTCCTATAAGAACAAATTGACCTCCCTTCGCACACGCCCTGCGGACTCCGGCCCGCAACGATGGCGTCGCGCAAGCAGGGGTACTCGCTCTGGCATTGTTCGCGCAGTGGCAGTGTGCACGCAGTGGCTTCTTCTTTTGCTTTTCGTCGGTGGTTTACGTCGAGGTTCACAAAAATGTAACACCAAGTGCTGTACCTGCCACGAAATCTGCACTTCGAGGTTCAACAAGTGCTGCGCCTTCCACGAAATCTGCACTTCGAGGTTCACCAAGTGGTGTGCCTGCCACGAAATCTGCGCTTCGAGGTTCGCAAAGTGCTGTTCCTGCCACGAAATCTCCACCAAGTGCTGTACCTGCCACGAAATCTGCGCTTGGAGGTTCACCAAGTGCTGCGCCTTCTACGAAATCTGCGCTTCGAGGTTCACCAAGTGGCGTGCCTGCCACGAAATCTGCACTGCGAGGTTCACAAGTGTCCTGTGCCTGCCACGGAATCTGCACTTCGAGGTTCACCAAGTGCTGTGCCTGCCACGAAATCTGCACTTCGAGGTTCACCAAGTGCTGCGCCTGCCACAATCTACGCTGCGAGGTTCACCCAGTGCTGCGCCTGCCACGAAATCTACACTTCGAGGTTCACCAAGTGCTGCGCCCTGCCATGAAATCTACACTTCGACGGTCGCCCAGTTCTGTGCTCCCACGAAATCTGCAAACGAGCCACATGTCCAAAAGTCACGATTCACTGCACCGTCGAAAGTATTGCGCCTGCCACGTACAACAGCTCCGATCCCATGCGCCTGTCACGAAAAGTCGACTTTGAAGCAGCGCAGTCGTTAGAAGCACCCGCCCGGGGCACCCAGACTCTGTGAGTCTGCGCCGTCGAAATGCGCGTAAGACGCAGGTGAAAACTCTAGTTACAATGGAGGGACGATCGACCATGATCCGACCATGATCCGAGGCACCCAGACTGTGTGAGCCTGCGCAGTCGAAATGCGCTTTAGACACAGGTGAAAACTCTAGTGTTACAATGGAGGGACGATTCGACCATGATCCGACCATGATCCGACCATGACGCGAGGCCATTCCGCAACCGTCGTTCCGCAGAGCTAGCCTTGCCAGGTTCGGAACCACCGTGCGTCCGCTATCTCTCGAACACGCATTTTGTACGAGACTTCCTTCCAAAGTGCATGTTGAAGAGCTGACCAGAGCTACGGCTGCAGCTGATTGGAGTTAGAGCCAACTAAGGCTAGAGCTGACTGGAGATAAAGCTGAGTATTAGTCGTCCTAGTGGTGGTGGTGGTGATTGTAGTTGTAGTAGTAGTGGTAGTAGTAGTAGTCGTGGTGGTGGTGGTAGCAGTAGTAGTATGGTAGTAGTAGTAGTGGTGGTAGTATCAGATCAGTAGTAGTGGTGGTAGTAGTAGTGGTGGTGGTGGTAGTAGTAGTAGT